TCAGAAATAGAGGGAAAGTGGTTAATGAGTTCTATTTAGAGATCTATGCAGCACCATCATTAAGGGCTACATGGTGTATAAGTAGGTACCCTTCCCTTGAACTGTAGCATGGAATGTGCTTTTAGTCATGTCTGTGTAGACTTTTGTTTTGTTCTTGTTTTATGGATTTCCTGCAGTGTTCAGTTTTCCATGTGCATCCTACAGCTGCTCAGCTGGTAGGCTGGTGGGGTAGTAACTGGGTGTGTATTAACAGCTGACCGTGATAGAAACATTAGGCTCTACTTTTCTTGGGGGGGGATTGACATCATTTACTGGCTGGTGCTAAATAAATTATAGAAAAGTTTTTTTTTTTCTCCTGACCTGAGACCTGAGAAATATGGTAGCTGCCATGCCTGACTTGTTTTTGAAGGTCACGTGCTGGTTCCAGGTCAGTAACCAACCAAATAGAGACTGGAAGAAGAAGAAAAGGGTGGCAGTCTCGGAGCATGCAAGTCAGCATGCAAATAAAACTCAGCTGTGGAGTTTCCCATATTTCCAACAGATTCCTTTATAGGTGTTACCAAAGATGAGTCATTTTCAGACATGATATTTCATGTTATATGTTTAAATACTTTACACTAATTATGATTTCTGAGCAAACATCTGCATAAAATGCATCACCCAACACGCAAGGGGTGTAGTGGTCACCTCAAGGGCAAAATGAGAGCCTGTGAACACATTTTCATACAGATTTTCTTTGATGTTGAAAATGCCCTATGACCCATTAGAAGTTGTTTCCTTTTCTCCATGAAACGGAGATTGCAGATTATACTTCATTGTTAAGGAATCTGGGCAGTTACATGGGCATCATTGTATATGGTTTCCCCAAATTTTGCACACCAGACTATGACTATGCATGCTCACAGGATTGGCTAGCCGCAAGGGCCACTGGGACAAGTAGTCCAGGAGACTGCAGCAACAGCATGCAGCCATTTTTCTGCTTTTAATAAAGTTTTTGTTTACACGAGTAAGGGAGTGTTCCAACCCCTGTCAGCTTTTGTGTTTGCCATCTATGTCCTATGGGGGAGATCTCCTTTAACTTCTTGTCAGATAGCCCCAAGAGGAGAGGAAATCCCTCCAAAGTGAGGGAAATCCCTGGTGGTCAGAAGAGTCTCCAGAACCAGTGTCTCCATTGGAAGACTTCCCATCTATTCCTGTTCTGGTGACAAGTCAAAATTTGGGATTTTTTTCACTTCCAGTAATAACAGTCACCAGAACAAATAGAGAGGTTTAATCTAACTTATGGGGATACAGACAGCAACCCAAACTTTAAATCAATGTAGATGCCCAATGTACAACATACAGCATTGTGACCAATTGTAACAGAGAAGGTGATCTTAGTTACTGCTACGGATGGCGCCATGCAGAACCTTAGGAATGGGTCAGAAATTGGCTCAGTTTGGTCAAGGCGTCGCATTAAGCAAGGCACGCTGCGCGGCCCCGAAATGTTGGCTCATTGACCTATTCAACTAACTGAATATTGAGCTGTTTAGTGTTGGTGGCTTATCTTCAAATTCCAGCAATAAAGACCTGGCAGGTGTTCTGTTTCCTTTGGCTTCAGTTGCACATCAACTGTGTACCTGTATGTATACAGTATACACTGTGTGTGTGTGTGTGTGTGTGTGTGTGTGTGTGTTTGTGTATGTATGTATATGTATGTAT